CATTACTGAAGAGATGTAGTATCGGTTTTTCCATGATGCTACACATTTCTTTTCTAAGCAGAAAGGTATGATGAAGATCCACTAATGGTTCCAAAGTGCACTAAAAGACACCAGCAGTCTTCTCACCACACTGTAACCTTACCATGCTGATACTCTGCTCTGAACCTCCACTGGCTTCCTGGTGTACTCAGAGTTCAAGCTCTGAGCTTTGTTATACCATCCAAGACACAGATGGTGTGTTCCATTCTTGCCATGCTTTATGTCTCTCTCTGACCTCTCACTCTGCTTTACTTTTCTTTTCTTTTTTCTTTTTTTTTTTTGGTATGGCAAGCTTTTGTGGTATGGTTACTCTTGTCTCAGTGCTAGACCACTGGACATTTGATTGGCTTGGATCATTCCCCATACAAACAAGTACACAGTTAGTACCTGTGTCTCCTTGTGAGTCAGGGCTACAGCATCACCCTTCTGGAGAGGCTACACTGACTACAATTTTCATCTCTTGTCTGCATTCCTTACCCTTAGTCCATGGTTTACTTATTTTACTTATCACTACATAAAAACCTCACATTTCCTTCATGTGTCTTTTTAATTGCTGGCCTTTCATTACAATGTAAACTTTATAAAGGCATGATTTTAGGATATTTTCCTTTATCCTTAGTTTCCTGGGGGAAAAAAATGTTTCTTTCATAATAGGCAGTAAACTATCACATGACTAGGTAATGAAATTGAGTAATAAAAATTGATAATAAAGTAATTGATTAGAGAATGTAATGTTAAATATTCTGATGGCTATTAGAAGTCATATCTAGAAGTAACATTGATTTGGGGGCCTTACACTATTGTGGTGGTATTGTGTTCCCCAAAATATTGTGCACCCTAATAAACTTATCTGGGGTCAGAGAACAGAATAGCCACTAGATACAAAGGCTAGAAAATGGTGGCACTCATACCTTTAATCCTACCATTCCAGAGGTAGAAATGCCTCTGGATCTCTGTGAGGTCAAGGCCACATTGGAAATGGCCAGGCATGGTGACACACGCCTTTAATCCCAGGGAGTGGTGGTAGAAAGCAGACAGGTTTATAAGGTGTGAGGACCAGAAACTAGAAGCATTTGGCTGGTTAAGCTTTTAGGTTTTGAGCAGCAGTTCAGCTGAGAGCCATTCGGATATGAAGACACAGAGGCCTCCAGTCTGAGGAAACAAGACCAGTTGAGAAGTTGGCCAGGTGAGGTTATCTGTGGTTTGTTCTGTCTCTCTGATCTTCCAGTATTCACCCCAATACCTGGCTCAGGTTTGATTTTTATTAATAAGAACTTTTAAGATTCCTGCTACATACTATGGTGGTAAAATGGACATCACTGTTTTGGGTTCTCTCTCGGATGACATTTGGCTGTATAGTAATGGCCAATACAAGTGACAAAGAACTCTGAAAACCGTGGTGCTGATTGCAGTAGCTCTCTGATGCTGATAAGGTAGAAAAGGCTATTATCTGGTTGCAGCACCATTTCCCGCCAGTGATGTATTACTTATTGATGTTCTGTTTACAGCAATACCCCTCTAGCTGACTGCAAACACCATCCCTGCCACTGTCCATTTTGTTTGGATCTTAAATATTTTGAATGCTTTGCTTGCTAGAGATTAAGAAACACCTTCATTATTGGAATTCTTTATAAAAAAAAAATAATAATGCTGTTGCTAGAGTTCTTCAGTGTTCAGTCCCTCACTTCTGTTTTTCTCTGAAAGTAATAATTTTAATCTTTATTGGTAAAAATGCAGTTTCTTAAAAATCCAATTGTTACATTATAGCTCACTGTAATGTCTCATGATTTCTTGGGCGATTCTACATTTGTTCTTTTTGCTTCCCCTGGAATGGTCATCCTTGCTTTCTTCATGGTGGATATTTTCTTGGTATTTGGTTTGCAGATCAAAAGTTATTTTGATTGGCGGTCATCTTGTTCACACAATGTAAGATGACTGCTTGTTAGATTGTGTGTTGCTGATCCTTTTATTCCCCCCTTTTTCTCTTTATTCACTATGCATGTCATTACTGAAGTAATAAACCCCATATTTTACATATCCTTACATGTTTTTATGTGTATGTTTATTAATTGTCTGTCTATCCCTTCTCTTGACCAGAAGCTGAAGGATAATTATGCTTGGTATTTATAAGATATTCAAGAAACATCTTGTTAATCAAATGGATTAATTCTCACACCCTGGAGTATCTAAATAGACAAGATACTGAGTTTTATATTGGGGTTTAGTCACAGATTAGGTGATGCGAATAATAAATAGAAAATGCGTGAAGAATAATGAGGCACATTGAAATTATATGTATGGAATACTCCATATGTTATTTCTTCACATTCGGCATCTGGAAGCTCTCCTCTTGATTCTGTTTTCATATTGCTGACAAGATGCTGTCACATCCATCGGATGTCAAACATTTATGCAATAAGGTAAAAGAGTTACTTTTGTTTATCTGACTGACATTTATGATACTTATGTCCACTTTTTTTTTCTTTTAATTTATTTTTTTCATTTTTTTATTAAGAAATTTTCTACTCACTCTACATACCACCCATAGATCCTGTTAAAGTTAAATCATCTTGTTGGTTGACTCAAAAATAAATAAAAAGAAGACGTATGAGTAAAAAAGAGAAAGTAAATAAAATGAATAACAAAATAAAAAAATAATTACTTTTGCTTTTTTCTTTTCTGTCTTTTAAAACACTCAAAATTTTAATTCTAAAAGATAAAGTGTTGGGGAAGGATAGGTGGGAGAAGTATGTGATGCAAACAGAAACTTACATAAGAATTAAATCTGTCCCTTAATGTGAATGTGGTAGCCAAACTTTGAGAAGTTTTAGTGAGGATGCTGGACTGAGCTGTGGGTATACGCTCAATGGCATTAAGTGGTTCAATTTGAATAGAAAACCATTTTAACTAAATTTTTACTGACATTTTGACTACTCTCTAATATCATCGATTAGTGCTTCAAGGACATCTATACATTTCACTTAAAAATAGTAATTGTGAGCCAGATATTATAAAGAGATGTGGTGATTCATTATGAACACTCCTGTCTCTGTCCTCTGTTATGCAACACTAACTGAATAAGTTTCTTTACTTAGTACAGGGGTGATGTGATGTTAAAATGGAATCATGATGGTTGTGAAAGTTTAAAATGACACAAACTACATGGCTGTGTGACAGCCACCTAGTAGACAGGCATGAAGAGATTAACAACGTTTCTGTGTACTTGTGGGTACTTTTTATGGTGAGTCTGTGGACTACTTGCAAACAATATAGTTGGTGAGGAGAAAGATATGGAGGCACACAATGCAAAGATCAGATAATCAATGAAAGCAGATGATAAATGTTACTTCTCCATTTGTCATAACTTCTCTAGATTCTTGAAAGAAAGGAAAGGATTGGGAAGGCTTCCTAACTGATAAAAGCCTTATGCAATCTATAATAGGCTTAACTGATTTTTAATGATCTGAGCATAAAAGAAGAGAAACGATTTTACTGTGAACCATACGATCAAAACACGGTAAGGACTATATTGGCTCATACTTAAATATGGTAATTAATTGTATTATTTAAATTACAGCGCAAGGTCAGGTGCAATGGTACACACCTTCAACTTCAATGCTTGCAAATGGACAGAGCTAGGAGGATATTTGTGAGTTCAAGGTCAATTTGGTCTACATAGCAAGATCTGGCCAGCCAGTGGTACAAACTGAGAACCTGTCTTAATAAAAAAACAAACAAACAAACAAATAAATAAATAAATAAATAAAATAAAAAATAAATAATACCAAAATTAAAACAATAATTGACAGTAAATCTAAATGATGTAGGAAGAGGAGAGAATATTTTTCTAGCCAGGGGTTCTCAACATGTGGCCTCTAAACATGTAGTCATTAACCACTGGGGAACTTCCAAGCTTCCTTCCCACCCCTATCCTCTGTGTATGATCCTGAAATCTCTACTTTAGTAAGTGCTGTTTTGATTGGGAACATGTTTTTATCTGAGAATCACTGTTTGCTAGTAAGAATATATAAGAGATGGGCTAAGAAGGAAAATTAAAACTGAATGTGACAGATACTTGGGTCTTTGGACAGGAGCAGGCTAAGTGAGGATCATGGTGGACTTTGGTACTGAGATCTCCAGGTCACTTGAGCATCGCTTAGCTCCTTCTCCATTCATGTGTTTGCCTTACTTTCTCCATGCTCAAGATGCTTTCTATCACTGGATTAATGTATCTCTGTCTCTACTTATGCAATGTCAAATTATTGTTTTAAAATTTCCTTAAACTATTGAAAAGCTTCCTTTTCCCTAAGAACAGTGTGTGTGTGTGTTTTCCTTCAACAATCTCTTCATTACTTATTTCAATTTCTGTTTTATTTCTAGATTTGTGTCACCATGCCTGGACTTTTTTTTTAAACATTAAATTTGCTTCAAAGCATGCATGTACACACATTATTGCTGAATTAAGTATAGTAATAAGAAGGCTGAGGTACACAGCTCAGAGGTGGAACACTTACCTAGCATGCATAAGGCAGTGAGTTTTATTCCCAGCAATGCCAAAAATAAAATATGCCTACTGACCAGACACACAAAAATGTATTAAGACAAGTTGCTCACTATGTATAATGTTAACCTGTATGTATATATTTTCAGGGCTGATCATTTGGTATTGGAGAACCAATTGATGTGCTTTTGCTGGGAGAGACTGTTTCTTCTGCTCTCAGCTTTCCTTCGCTACCTGTAGTTCTTTATCTAGGATTAAGGCCCCATGAGCTTTTCTCCTCCCATATTATCATGTCTGTTGGTGTCTTCACTGTTGTCATGTTTAGACAGCCATGTGGGTGAGACTTCTCAAATGTAGCTTCTGACATTTCTGGGAGACACCACCTCACAGCAAACTTCCTACTCCTCTGGCGCTTACAATCTTTCTACCCTTTCTTCTGCAACCACCCCTGGAGCCTTAGGTGCAGGAGCTGTGTTATAAATACATCAGCTGAGACAGGGCTCCACCACTCTGCACTTTATTACTTGCAGTTTTCCATAATGGCCTTTGTCTGTTGCAAAGAGAAGTTTCCTCGATGAGAGGTGAGGACTACATTCACTTTTGTCAATTAAAAAAGAGATCGCGAGTTTGAAAAAGAGCCAGGGGGATCACATGAGAGTGTTAATGAGGAGGAAAAGGAAGGGATATGATGTGATTATATTATAATCTCAATAAATAAAAGAGACTTATTTAAAAACCTGTTAATAATGGATAGGTTAATTCAAAACAAAAATTGTTTTTTTTTCTATCTTAATTTCTGTATTATCCCACTATTGATTAATGTATGTTTTTTTGTGTGTAGATTGCATCATCTATCAAATTGATTGCATGATATAGAACATGTTAAGTACAAACCAGAAAGCAGGCATGTTATTACATTAGCCCTTATCCTCACACATGCATGCATTGTGTCTGTGTTTCATTCCCAGCAAGTTACTCCACTCATCAGTGTGCCTCCCCTGCAAGTTCAGATGAAGGAAGGTTGAAAATGAGGCCGGCACTAATTTCCACTGCATCTCCTCTTAGACAAATAGCCAGATGCTCCCTCCTTGGGAGAAACAAGCTGTCATAGTCATCACAGAGATTTGAAGACACACCTAACAAAACACCTGTAAGAGCACAGGAGGATGAAGCTGCTCCTGAACCGAGCCCCTGGGACTGAACTCAGCCCTTGCTCCAGCTATCGTGGGTGGGGTGTCTGTGCAGTGTACATTCCATGCTCTGAGAAAACAGAGGTTTAGAAAGAAATGTCAGGGTCAGGCCAGGGAATTGACTTGTTGGCAGAGCTTTGTTGCACTGCTCCAGGGAGAACAAGATGAAACTATACATGGCTCAGAAGTCCTACATACAGCATTTCAGAGAACGCTAAAATGTCCCGTTTGATCAGCTTCCACACACTCAGACTCGTTGAAAAATGATGGAAGAGTGTGTGTTCCTGGAGTACTGCTACTTTATTTGGATAGTTTTTGATAATGAGATATATGAAGGGCTGGATGAAGAGATAAGTGAATGAATAAAAGAGTATGGGACAAGAGGAGACAGACACAGACAGAGACAGAGACAGAGATCCACAACTAAGAAAATTTGACAGTGCTAAGTAGATAATGAAAGCAGCAGAAACACTAGTGATAAAACCAACTCTCCATGGAAATCCCATTTGCAAGAGCATTTCAGGCAGAGGAAAGGATCACAAGGCCATAACCTAGGAATGGGCTGGGCAATCCCAGGGAAAGACTACGAGGTCTGAGAATTGGAGAATGAGGCCTGTAAAGATGCATGAAAAGCAAATCAATATGTGCAAGGATCTTTTAAGAAGGACAATTTCTTAAACACTTAGGAAGCCATTGGAGGTTTTTATATTGGGGGAATGACTGAGGGGATAGGATTAACCTGTGTTACAAAGATTGCTCTGGCTCATGATGACATGCTTTTCAACATTATCCATTTATAGGTTTGCCTTTGAACATCCAGGCTGTAATCCAAGCCAATGGACACAAAATGGTGACACGATTAGGAAAAGGCTGCCTTTATAGTATCCATTCTGGGCCAATCTGCAGCTTTTATGTGCACATTATCATTGCCCCTGAGCCATAATGGACATAGAATTGGAAGCAGCCTTCCACCTGAGCCATCATCCAAGCCACTTTATGAAGCCATCATCTATATCCATCCCAAGAGGCTTATTCTACGAGTATGACTTTTCTCAGTCACGAAGACCATCAAACTCATAGATGTGGATATTCATATTAAAATCATTTTGGGTAACTCTCTTTTCATAAACCATCACTCAAAAATCCCTTTGGACTTTAAAGACAACAAACTGAATAAAAATACACATGGTTCTATGGCTTACTGGATTGCTTTTCCATCTTTCCTTAATTGTATTATAACCCTTACATGTCTTGGCAAAAGGCAAATATTACTGTTTTTCCAGACTGGTGTTATTTCAAGCAGAAAAAGGAGAACCATAAATGTGGAAGTAAACCTCAGAGGAATTTAGGGATGTATTTTTTTTTAAAAAAAAAACCTAAACCACCACAATACCAAATCTAATTCATGTAGAAATGTTCTCAGCTCTGCTCCTCCAAGGATCATAGTTGGAGAACATTCCTTTTCCTTAATTTTCCACACAATTAAAGATCACCTGATGTTTGCCAGAGAAGGTTTTGTACTTCTGTTTCTTTGGCCAGGTCTCCATGTTACTTAATGAGGAAATAATAATTGTTTTAACAGACGAAACTGGGACAACTGGATATGTACATGCAGAAGAAAGAGTTTAGATCCCCATGTCATATAATATGTAAAATTTAACTCAAAATGGATTGAAAGCTGAGCAGGTCATTCAGTGGTAGGTCACTTGTCTAGATAGAATGCATAAAGCCCTGGACACAATACACAGCAACACACACACACACACACACACACACACACACACACACACCACACCACACCACACCACACACCAGAAATATAAAATAGCAAATTTCCAACCATAAGAACAAAAGAACCATAAAACTACTAGAATGAAACAACTTCACATCTTCTGAGGTTGGATTAGTCGATGATTTCCTGAACAAATTTACCTTTCTTCTTTGGTAGTTTGCATTATATCTTCCAGAACAGTAAACACTAGTCCATGGGCACGAAGGCTCTAGGTAGACACCAGCTTGACTCCTCTGTGTTCCATGAGTTGCATAAGTGTTGTCTTCAGCAAGACGGCCTCACTGTCAATTTGTGGAGAGCTACCAAGAGCCTTGGCAATAGCCTGGGTTGTTTCATTCTGGGATCACTTTGGCCAAGAACTTGATTAGATATAACACAGTCTTGGTACTAGAAGCTTCAGTTGGTGATAAGAGATGTCCAGATGGGTTTCCTCCATTATTTGGTGATTTTATTTAGATTGCCTTCATTTATGTACATATTTTAGGAAGTTTCTACTGTATTAGGTTTTCATTCTATCCCCAAATGGCCCTTAGTTTTAGCTGCCCTGCCCCATATTCTCTTCTATACCCTTCTCTTCCTTCCTTCTTCCCATTTGATACTCCCATTCCCTTCCTTGTTCATCCTTAACTCTCTATTGTATTTCATCTTTCTAGTGAGATCCATTCCTTCTTCACATTCTCATATTCTCTTCTTAACCTCTATGGTTATGGCCTGCTTATCGATGATATAACGGCTAACATCCAGACTTAAGTGAATACATACTACATTTGTCTTTCTGGGTCTGAACTACCTCATTCAAGATGATTTTCTTTTTCTAGTTAATTTATCTGTGAATTTCATTTTTAATGCTTGAGTAATAATATGCCACCATATAAATGGACTTTACACAATTTTTAATCAATTTCTCTATTTCTTTATCCATTCATTTATTGACCGGTATCTAGGTTGTTTCCAATTTCTGGCTGTTATGAATGGAGCAGCAAGGAATATGGTTGAACAAGTGTCTCTGTGGTTTATCCTTTGAGTATATGCCCTAGAGTGGTATGGCTGGATCTTGAGGTATGTTGAGTCTCATCTTTATGACTTCCACAGTGGAAGTACAAGTTTGCACTCCCACCCGCAATGTATGAGTGCTCTCCTTATTCCACATCTTTGCCAGTCTGAGCTGTCATTTGTTTTATTGATCCTGGCCATTCTGAATGGTTTAAGATGAAATCTCAAAGTAGTTTCAGTTTGCATTTCTGTGATAACTACGTATATTGAACATTTTTTGAGAAGTGCTTCTCAGCCCTTTGACTTTCCTCTTTTGAGAATTCTCTGTTCAGAGGCTTACTACCTTCTAAAAATTGAGTTATTTGTTTTCTTGATGTCCAGGTTTTTGAGTTCTTTATGTATTTTGGATATTAGCCCTCTTTTGGACGTGTAGTTGGTAAAAACCTTCAATTCTGTAGCCTGCTGCTTTGTCTGAACAATGGTGTCCTTTGCCATGCAGCAGAAGCTTTTCAGTTTCATGAGGTCCCATTTATTAGTTGTTCATTTTAATGCCTGTGCTAACAGTGTTCTATGCAGAAAGTCTTTTCCTATGCCAATGAGTTCAAGGCAATTCCTTACTTTCTCTTCTGTAAGAATCTGTAAGAATCAGTGTATCTGGACTCACGTTGATACTGATCATTTTTGATCCATTTGTAATTCAGTTTTGTCCACAGTGATAATTACTGATTTATTTATATCCTTCCATATTCAACCATCCAGTTTGAATTAGTACTATTTGTTGTTGACACAGTCTTTTTGCCAGTGTGAATTTTTGGCTAAAATCAGGTGTCCATAAATGTGTAGATTTAGCTCTGGGTCTTCTATTCTATTTCATTGACCAATCTTTCTGGTTTTTGTGCCAATACACTGCTGCTTTTCTATAGTGCAATTGGAGATGGTGATGCCTCCAACAGTTCTTTGATCATCCAGGAGTGGTTTAGGTATCCTTGCTTTTTGTTTGCCTGTTCCATTTCTAGACTTTTATGATGGAGAAATGGCTAATGATGAAGAAGGAATACAGTCACCCAGAGAGCTGCTGAAGATCTTAGTGAGACACGGTTTTTATCAGCCTAAGTAGAAAAGAGCAGACAGGGAGGAGGGCAGGGTTCAAGCTGACCCTGCTGGGGAAGAGAGTAGGGAGAATGTGCTGAAAAATCAGAGAATTTGGAGGAATATAGAGTGAGATTTTTGGGAAGGCGAGAAGGGTAAAGGTTTTGGGGAAGTGTGCTAGAAAAGAGGAACTTATCAGAGCGTCACCACCCCTCCTTTTCTGTTTGCTTTCGCTAAGATTTCTTCAGACATCATTTTATGCAGATACTCGGAAGTTCGTATGAGTGATCCTTCAAAGTACAAGTTCTGATAATTTTCCTTTTATATCATTGGAAATAAGGAAGGTAAAAGAAAATAAAATCAACATTCTGAAGGAAGGTAGTCATGTGAACAGTTAAGTATTTTATCTTTTCCTTTCTCCCCCCACTCCACTGTACAGCTTAGGCTGTGCTGAAAATCATTATCCTCCTGTCTCAGCATTCCAGGTGCTTGGTTTTCAAGCATGGGTCTCACTTTTAAACTCTCTTTTACTGTGCAAATAATGCACTTTCCCTAAAACTTGGGAGTTATTTTCTTTCCCAATGATATGAAGCATTCTTTGAGTCCAGAAACAACATATATCATATCAGCAATTGTAAGAAAAATATGTAAGTTCACTCCACCTTACTGTCTCCCTTCTCAGTCTTTACCATGGTTTCATGCTGATCATCTGGAGTTGTTCTCTATTTCTTGATACATAAACCCCTGTTTTCTGAACCAGAGATACTTTTCTTTTCTTTTTCTCATTAACTTACCGAGTAGGTATTTTGCCCAGACTATGTGTTGATTATTCTAGATACAGCACAGCCATGCTCACAGCAAACAGATTCTGATGTTTCTGTAAATTGCTTTAGAAAGTATAGGAAAAAATAAGTTAAAAAAATTGCTTATAATACATGTCAGGTAATATTCATAAGCTCAGTCCTGTGGAGATTGTCCTAATATTTCTGTCTTTGTATCACATACTGAGGCAAATTCAGAGCACACCCTAAAAAACCCAAAATGTGCATGTCATATCCCTCTACCTACCACAAGTATTAATGTTAGTGGTTGAAAATCAGCACCCCATCATACACATAAAGGGTTCTGTCCCTATTTAGTGAGTAGCTGTCAATAGAAAACTCAAAATGCTACTACCTCAGTAGTAAAGATGGATCCATTTACTTGCGGTTTTTGAATTGCAGGAAATCTATACAGGAATTGTAAGCATCTATGTAGGCTCACACAAGCACAGGGGAGCAGTCTCCCATGTTACTTTCCTGATGATGCTCCTTAAATATTAGAGGGATTGAAGACTGAGACTGTACTGCTATAGCTATGAATGAAGGTAGAAGACAGATGTTAGCCCACTAACTATTGTTACAATGATGCAATGAAGTTTCAAATGACTGAAAAACTTTCATTCACCAGGTCTGGTCAGGTGGCATGCCTTTGTAATTTCAGGAATTAAAAGGTGAAGCCTGAAGGATTGTGAATTGAGTTCAGACTGGATGTATAGCACATTAAAGAACAGATTGGATTATATAATGAAAATCACTACTAAATAGTCAGTCTATTATATATTGAATCAAAAGCCAAAACAAACCAATCTTACTACATGGTTGACTGACAGGGTAGAAGACTGGTCTCCAAACTTAGAGTGGTAATGGCCAAGGGGTGATTGTTTTTCAGTGTTCATCTGTTTTTCAGTATTCACAAAAACGAAACCCATTCATGTGCCAAATGACATTCTAAATCAGTTCTTCAGTTTGCCACTAAAGTGTTAAATAGTCAAAACATTCTTTGATTAAGCACTTAATTTTGTGAAGCAGAATCCTTGAAGGAAAGGAACTTAATTATATCAGAACTACAATACTAAACAATGATTTTAATTCATAGTCTACTCCCCAAAAGCAGCAGAAGCTATTCGCAGAGTAAGCATGAGTGAAAAATTATAAAACTAAAAATAAAAGGAATTCCACAAAGCATAGGAAACATATTCTTAGTCACATCTTAGGTCAATGACAGTATTTACACCTTTGATTTCAATAAAAGTCAAAAGAATGAAAGGGACTCAAAAAGTAACAAAAAGATAACGGTGTGTTCATTTCCATGACTATTTCCATAAGAATGCGTGAGTAATTCTAATGTCTGAGTAGGTACCACCTAACTGTTTTGACAACTAAGGATTCCAGTAAAAGGGGCTACTTTAAATAGTATTCTACTTTAAGTACCTATTGAAACAGATGAAATAAGAAGTATGGTATTTGAGAGATTGCCCAGCAGAAATAGTACCTGCTGTGAAGT